CTGTTTCGAGTGTTACACTGAGGTGTGTCTGTTTTTGGTATTTATTTTGTTTTTGCGGCTTTTTTCTTTTGTTTTTGTGACTGTGTGGAACCCAGTTCAGCTACTGAAGGATTGATTGTGTGGCTGCAGTACATTGTTTATTGCTTTCATTTTATGGATCAATAGTCTCGTTAGATAGTAAAATTCATGTTAAATTGCTGTTTTAGGGGTTGTTTTTAAAAGTCTGGAACAGATTAATCCATTTTGCATTACTTTCTATGGGAAAGTGCGCCTTGGTTTTGGAACACTTTGGTTTTGGAATGGATTTCCAGAACAGATTAAGTTTGAGAACCAAGGTACCACTGTATTAAATGGGTTTTGGTACATTTAAACCACCAAGAATTGCACTGCAACAGTAGCAGTTGGTGGGGTAGCAATTTCTATTTAGTTAACTAGTAAAATTTATCCACCGCTGGGTCAGAAAATTTATCCACCGCTGGATCATTAAAAAATTCTCAAAGCGGTTTACAAAAATGTGATTTACTTTTCATCACCAGCATCACTGCAGCTTACCCAGAGGGAGAAAGGAGCGGCAGCAACAAGATCAGTGTAGTGCAGACACATCAGTGGCAGCACTGGATTCACTCCACGGGGGAATTTACACTGCACTCACCCCTCTCACTCCCATTAAGCCGTACCAGTGCCAATGTTGGGAGGCAAGCAAGCAGTGCCCCCTTGCCTTGCTGATCACTACTGCATTGCAAAATTTGGAGAAATGTGAAATTTGATATATAGCTAAATTACAATCCATGCATTAGTGTAGATTAGGTCAGTCCGGCACATGGGGATTTGCTGAGATCCAGTTCATCAGATATCCCAGCTTGGAGCTTAACTTTCCTCCTATGAACGAAACGTCGAGTTCATATTCCTGGGAAAGGTCTCTCCGCTTTCTTCTGCAGTCCTCAGCACCCCCTGAAAATCTGCTACAGGGCTTGGGGAAAACTTGGCAATGGTGTGGGATACTCTAAAATGTTACTGTTTGTTTACATGCTGCCTTTTGACTTTAAAAGAAGAAGAACACCAAGGTGGCTCAAGAATAATCAACACACAAAATCAAGTACAGACAATACAAATTATACTAACTCCAAACAAAATCATAACATATCAAAGGTATGAAAATCCAAATACATTCATCTTGCTGCCAAAAAAGGCAATGAGGGCAATTGCCACAAAAATATTAGAAAGAGCAGGAGCCTCTCCCTGGGAATGATTTGGATATAATGTGTGTTTGTGAGGCAGGTTAAAGAAGCAGGGAGACTTGGTGGAACCATAGCCTCTTATGTGAACAGAGGAGCAACTCAGCATCTGAGCCTGTGCTAAGAATCTCAGCAGCGGAAGCTCACAAGGAAGTGCAATGTGCTCCCACAATCCACTCTAAATTAGTACATAAGCCTGCAATTGCTAAATGCATTTACACTGGATTTCTCTCTCCCTCTTCTCTCCAGAAGGCAAACCCTAGAATGGATTTGACTTATAAATCACAAAAGACACTTCTTTGGCAAGGATGATCATCCTCATATACAATAAATCATGAAACATCAACAGCCTCTAATGGATTTTGATTCTGTGCCACAGCCGGCCTAAGCTGGAGGCCGACGTTTTGGGATTCTGCACGCATGCCAAAACACCCTGATAAATTATTCACATTCAGCACTGTGACATCTGAAATATATATTTAAAAAGGCAGCCTGGATCAGTCTGTTGTGAGAAATAAAAACGACAATTGGGGTTTTTTTGAAAGCCACACAACATCCCTTTTCCTGACACACTGCATCAGATGTCCCTCGATCCTTGAAACGCCTTCTCAGAACTTTAAAGGAACTATCAGTTTCTTTTACAATCACTGGGCTGTGCTCATGCAGAAGCATCTAATCCAGGTTTTACAAAAGCGAAGTGTAAAGTCTTCCTGCTAGAATGTGCAATTTGCATTTCACAGCATATTCTGAGACCATCCCACTGACTAGAAAAATCGCAACTGCTTCCATGCCTATTTGTTTGATGGCCGTGGTTTTCAAAGATTCTCCCTTCAGAAAATACTACCTGTTGAGATGTCCCGTGGTGTATGCAATGAAGTTCTGCATATCGCAGAAGATTTTGGGAGGTAATTTGCTCCCTTCTGTTGAATGGTCACTTTAAAATGTGAAGGTTCATTACTGTTTCACAAGTTGTGTATGTCTTTAAGGGCCAGGGCCAGGGCAAATAACGAGACCCAACCTTACAGCTGTGAAACATAGCAGGTGCTGCTGAGTTGTGTTAATCAAGCTGTGTCAGCAATTGAGTGTAGTATATAAGGGGCAGCACCTAGCTCTCTCATTACCCTGGGGGATGGGTTGGTGGTTGGGTCTGGTTTGTTGTTGATGTATTTAGTGTATAAGGAGTTTTTGTTATTAAAACCTTGTTTAAGTTATTTTTGAGTCCCTTTTTAATGCATGGTCTCCCCAGCAAGCTCTCTGCAGTGCTACTAAACTGCAAATAGCCAACACCTTCATCCAAGACACTCAAGGCTTTGGGGATGGCACCACTGCCGCATCTCAACTGAGCACACAGTTGACAACATTCCTCTCTTGCTGCACCATACAAAGGAAGGTTGATAACCACCAGCCAGCTGTCACTCCAGGAAGCTTGGGGAAAGGATGTAGCTCAGTGGTGGAAGCTACAGAAGGTCCATGAGTCCAGCATCTCCATGGAGGGCTGTGGAAGGCCCTTGCCTGAAATCCGGGGAATACTGAGCTAGATGGACCAACAGACTGACACAGTAGGAGGCAGTTTCCTATGTTCTAACCTTTACTGGTCTTCTCACTGAGAAACTCTTGGTAATTTCCCCAGGAGCCTCAGGGTTCCACAGAACTCAGCTTGAAAACCACTGCTTTACTATGAGACCCACATGGTTTCTTAACAGCTGACCATCTGAGGTTTTCCAATTTAATGCTACACGTTATTATGATAGCCTTCACATTTGCACCGTTTCTTTGTGATTATGCTGGTGTTAATTAATTTATTTGCTGTATTTGTAACCCAACCTTTTTCTCTCTCCAAGGAGCTCAAGGTGGTATATACATGGATCTCCCCCTCTTCAGTCAATCCTCACAACAACCTTGTGCTGAAAGGCAGCAACTGGCCCAAGGTCACCCTGAACCCTGGTCTCCCAGGTCCTAGTCTGGCACTCTTGCAGCAACACCACACTGGCAGCTTCAAGGTCATAAACTGGTGATGGTGACTTTTGGAGCCTTCATCTTTCCAAGGTGTATCTCACCCACATACCCCTTGAACAAAAAACTGTCGAGCCTGAAGTAGCGTTTTTCACATTATATTTTCTAGATGGTACAAGTATGAAATACTGCATGGGTTGCAATAGGAGATTTAAATCAATACTTTTATTTAAATACACAAGGGTATGAAAGGGTTAGGTCACTACTTTGGAGTGCTTTAAAAGGGAAAGGGATTGATACAACCATGCACCCTTCACAAGTGAAGTGGTGTGTGTATATATCATGTTTTGATGAGCGTAGCCTAAGGCAGCAGTGTTGCAAACTCCTCGACCATCTGTTAGGCAGCCAAGTTAGAGCAAGTTTCACCTGAAGTTACCTTTTGCTGTTGGGTCTGTATTCCCCATTGCTGACCCATTCTGACTGGCAGAAGATCTCCAGGGTCTTCAACCAGAATTCTTTCATCACACTGATGCCTGAGATCCTTTGAACTGAAAATGCCAATGAATGAACTTGGAACCTTCCAGGTTCATGCAAATGTGGACTCTTATCATTAGGCTATGGACCCTCTCCCCTGACTCTTCTGCCCTCTTTTCATGATTTCTTGTCATTCAGTTCTTGACTGAAAGACAAGGCAGAACATCATCCACTTCTATCAGGTGGCTTCGTGTTCACAAAAGAAAGCCCCTGCACAAACACACAAAAGCCACCCCACCCCCCAAATTGGGGCATTTAGCAGTCTCAGAGCATATCTAAGTGGCAGACTGAGACTATCAGAGTGGAAGCTTCTAACTTTCTATACCAATTTATGGAATCCCACCAGACTCCATGCAGATACTGTGTTTTTTCCTTCTTTAAACAAAGTCAGTCCTCTGTAATCACAAGAAAAAACAACGTTTTCCGATCTCCCCAAAGTGCCCGAGACTAGAAATGAAAAAAATAGTGGTGGTCCAGGAGAGTGGGATATCAATATAACCGCTAGAATACTGCATCCAGAAAATAGAGAAGCTGGAACAAACATTAGGAAGCCATCACTGTCCAGGGGTAGGGAGAGGAATGGGAAGAGTAGCACACTTGTTGAATTTAAACATAGAACTTAAGTAACTATAGTCTGCATAATATGAATGGTATATCAATATAGTGAACTTAGCTGCTACCAAACCAACAATTCAGTTGACATGGGTAATATTTTCACAGCACATACCAGTAGAAGGAAAACAAACCTCTAGGTAATGAATTGAAAAATGCTATACAGTATTGCAATCACACCAAAAGCCATCCTTTTGGGGATACTAACACCAAACACTCTTCAGGAGATTTGGCAAAGCTCCAATGCATCCATTCATGATTTATGAATATATTACATATCTGGCTTTGGCTACATGAAGTGTTTGCATAATCTGTCCATGGCCCTTTTAAACTTTCCATTAAGTGCTTTGGTCCCCCACAGAAAGTCCTCTACTCTTGTGTCAGTAAAAATGCAGGAAGTGCAGAATGACAGGTCAATCTGTGTCTATGTCCCCAAATCCTCTCTCTTAAAAACAACACTGAAACATAACTCTGTAATATGAAAGCACAGAAAAGAAAAGAATCGAATGGCACACTGCATTGTGGCAAACCCTTTTGATGCTGAGGGCAGTACAGCCAGGATAGTACAATAAAACACTCAAAGCCCAGTATTCCCCAGCCGTTACTCTGATCAATAGGTACATGCTGTCTCCGCAAGAGATAAAGTATGTGTAGCTTAGACTTTACCTTGGCTGCTACAGAAGAATTGGGCTTCTCCAGAAGGTCCCAGAGCTTTTTCCTCTTCTCAGCGCAGCAGGTGTTATCAAATTCCTCTCCTTCCCTGTCTCGCATTGTTTCTGCTTCCCTCTTGAGCTCCTCGTTCATCTGCTCCTTCTTCTGGTGGTACCTTGCCTGGCAACAGGACTCCAGATAGATCTCATCAATCCCCCAATAGTCCAGTTCTTGGCTGAAGGACAAGGCACACATTTCCTCCATCATGTGCAGCTTGCCAGTGCGGTAAAAGTTCAAGATAGAAGTAAATGCCCCTGGGTGCCTATCAAAGAAATACTCGTTCTCCTCCAAGTTGTAGTCGTCACATATATCCATAAGGGTTTCGTGGGTGTTGCAGTCTCTGAGCTTACCCAACCTTGTCCGTGGCAACCTGTCCAGGGTTCTCCATAAAACCTCGTGGGCCAAGCCACCCACATTAAGCTTGACCCTTCTGGAGCAGGCCTTGCTCCTGACAATCTCCATGGGATCGGGAGGCAAAGAGGTAGTCGATCGAGATCCATGCTTATTCATCCCCGCAGGCATCGCTTGTCTCAGGAAGGCTGGAACAGGCTGATGAAAGCTTCCAGGGCACTCACACTTCTCAGCAGGACCTCTTCATCTGTCCTCCTTCTCCTCCATGCCTGCAAGAGAAAAAAAAACCACAGAGCTACTGGCGACTTCTGGGGATCAAATGAGAGCCTCTTCCTTTGTTTGTGGGCTGCCTGCTTGATCAATTAATCAGGCAGCTGTACAAACAGCTCCGTTAGTCTGCTTGAAGGAGCAGCGGGGACAGAAGGCTGGCTGCAAGAGCACAGGTCGCTGTTCAGTTTAATGGTGCTGAAACTGAAGAGAGCCTTAAGAGTGGTGAGCTGGGGGAAGGGTGCGGGGAGGCGATCAGGCTACCTTTTTTGCCATTAGCCCAGCAAGACTTAGAGCAGCCTTTGCCTGATCTATACATGGCAAGAACTCATTGCAATAGAAGGGAACCCTGTGCGCTGTCCACACCCAGGTGCTGAAATAGATTTCCTAACACGTTTTCCAGCCTCTGGGAAAATACCAGTGCCATGGCACAGAATTGCAGAGTTGGCAGGGATCATGAGGCCCATTTAGTCCCACATCCTGAAGTGCAGAAATATTTTAACCAGCATGGGGTTTGATCCCATAGTCCCAAGATTAAGAGTATCATATTTTACCAACTGAGCTATCACAGTGTTTGGGGCAGTGGTGTTGTCAGGGCAGGCTGCTGGGACAATGCCCCACTCAGCACACGCACACACACACACACACACACACACAGAGAGAGAGAGAGAGAGAGAGAGAGAGAGAGAGAGAGAGAGAATGCGGGCCCCTATGTGGCTCACAGGCAGATTACCATGCTTTTGAAGTTACCATCTAAAGAGTCTCCCACCCCCATATGTTCACTGAGTTTGGAGTCTAAAATTACCAAACTGCCCCACTGGTTTGTAGTGGGATCTGGAAGACCCCATGAACTCCAGTTGGCAGCTCATCGGAGCAGCTTCCATTGTAATTAATTTTGCTCTCCTTGAAGTAATATGTATTCTGTATTCTCATCACCACTACCCACCCTCCTTTTCTTTTGATTTGTGGACTCCCCCCAACTTAAACTGATGCATCGAAGCATTTGGGTATGAGTTACAGTGAACAATCAAGCAAAAGCTGAAATACTTGGTTACTTACGAAAAGAGACCTGCATGTTTTGGTTTAAAGGCAATGTACATAACAGTTTGTCACTATAAGCCCAGTCTGTCCCTCACCCTTTCATACCTTCCCCCCTCTCTCACACACACAAACACACAAATAGATGTCCCAGCTTGATTCTAGGCACGATGAGAATTTGGATGTCCCTAACAAAAGGACTAGTTTGTACAACTATAATAGATTTTGGAAAGGGAGTAGGTGGGAAGTCTGATGTACAGAGTCATCCCCTACACAAGCTACAGCCACTGGTGTTCATTTGAGTCCCACTGTTTCAACTGGTAAGGCTAACTGAGACATCCAAACACCTTTCCCTAGAGAAGTGGGTGAACCCCAGAGACATAAATGGGAAAACCAGGTACACACCCACCAAGAGGCATATTTTGTGATCCAATCTTCAACCTTTCGTACAAACTCTTCTCGGAAGACACGTTACATACAACGTTGTATATGGGGTAGGATACAAGGGAGGGGGGCATTAAAAGTCACTATAATTCTGCAAGAAACTCTACACATCAAATTGTCATATGCCTTTCTATACTCCTTCCCCAAATCATACATACATGAAGCCCGGGATATTTAGGAACTCCATGTTTTGAAGTTAGTTCAACCAATAGCACTTCCTTCCAGGTTTATGAGTTTTAAGACTGGGAAAGGAGCACGCAATTTTTATCTACTGGTTCTCATTTTTTCTTCTACATGCTCTTTAAGAGGCATTTCTCAGTTTTCTCTCTTCTGCCAAAGAGCTGAACTATGAACTTTAAAAGAGAATCATGAAGGTTCCCTCCCCTTTTTTTCTTTTTTAGCTATTTGGAAAAAAAGAAATGCTCCAATCTAGTCTCCTCACATGTGCTTCTAATCGGTCCCCTGTTATAAATTTAACTCAAAGACATCAGAGGCACAGGCTGGCACTAATAGTTTACACAGCAGCACCTGATCACACACCGTTCTACATGCAGAAAGTCTAGCATGGAGCAAAGTCAAATGACATTCACAGTCTGATAGTCCTGTTCACATTGGGTATGGGTGAAACAAGCCATATCTATGGCTATTACTCTCTCCTCTCTCTAGTAAGCTCTGGAAAGGCAGATATGTCAGAGACTAATCTTTTGTAAACCACCACTTACAAAGGGTGGTCGGTGAAGGGGTTAGTGGGCTTGTAATGGCCCCATACTAGAACAGATTACATCAGTAGGGGGGTGTATTGTGGTGGGAGGGAACAAAAAAAATAAACTCTCACCTTATGAAGGTCCCTAGTGGAATGAGTGAATAGGGGAGCGGCACACCTATTTTAATTCATTTAAGTAAGATACTTGGGGAAGCAAAGTCTGCCGAGCTTAAGTTGGCTACATCTGTTGGTGAGTTTGGGGCAAATGCCTCCAGGGAAATTGGGGCCATTAAGCTCAATTATCTGAAATAAGGCATTGAGAGAAAGACTGGTACACTTCTTGCATTTAAGTCTACAAGAAAGAGAGACTACAGCGCGGTGTGTGTACGTTGTTGATGGAGATGGTGTGGAGACAGAGAACCCGAGTTTATAACCTGAGTGGGAACAATCATCACATTTCCAGCTCTTTAAAAAAAGAAAAGAATGTGGGGCTTCTATGGGAGGGAGTGTGAAAGAATTTCCATCTCCTCCATTTATCCCCCCCACCCCACCCAGCGATAACTAATAGGAGTCGTCATAACAACAGCCTTTAAAAAAGAGAATAATATGCAGCCAGTAGAAAGAGCTAGCAACACTGTTGCTTATACAAGATGGGAGAAATCCGGGAGAAGAAGAAGAGGAGGAGGAGGAACGGCTCCTTCTCTTTCCCCACGCCTGACTAAAATCCTACAAGAGATTTCAGGGGGCAGGGGGGAATCAGATCCCTCCCCCACCCCACCGACGGGGACCCAACCCTCGATTTGAGGAGCGGGACCCCAGCCACCCTGCGCATCCACACACAGGAGCTGCTGCCTCGGGCAGATGTGATCCTCTAGCTCCCAACTCCGCTTGGGGTTTGCCCCCTTCCCCCCTTCCCCCCTCTCCCCCGGGTGCCCGCCTCCCCATCCCCCAATTCCGCCACTCACTTCTCTTGCCACGATCCCGGAGAAAGGAGGCGCCGTGGGGTTCCGGGGGGCGGCGAGGGCATCGGTCGGCCAGCTGGCTCGCTCGCTGGCTACATCCTGCTCCGGGCTAGCTCAGCAGGCAGGAAGGCGTCGCGGGCATCCTCGGCGGCGGCGGCGAGAGATGGGGAGGGGGGCGGGCAGGGGGAAAAAGAAAACCCCACCGGGGACGAAATCCCAGGATAACCCCTTCAGCAGCCGGATGAGGAGAGCGAAGGCAGCAGCTCCCCCCCCCCCGGGCCAAGGCGTCTCCGTGGGTCTCAAGAGGCGCCCCCCGTCGCAACAAGCGTCTCGCAGGCCCTCGCGCCGATCCGGCTGCGCTTCTCGCCCAAGCCCCACCTTCAGCTCCGCCGACGCCGCGCGCGGGGCCCGGGCCCAGCGGGGAGGAAGCGCCCGCCGCTCGCAGTCAGGGAGCGCGGGCCTCTCTCCTTCTTCTCGCCTTTCCTTCTTTCTCCCTTTCGCTTCTTGCTAACGGAGATCAACAAGTCCAGCCTGAGCCTCCAGCTTCGCCCTGCGATTCTGGTTGCGCGGAGTTTGGCTCGAGCGGATTAGAAGTTGGAGGAGAAAGGGAGACGGGGAAGAGGGGAAGGAGCGAGCTCCATCTAGAGGCCGGCATTGCGGAGCAGAGGCGACCCCAGAATGGCTAAAAAGAAAGAGCTGAACAGACTTCCAGACTCCCAACCTTCCTTCTAGGTTTTTAAGCAGAGGTTGGATGGTCATCTGTCATGTATCATCTAGTTGAGATTGCTGCATTGCAGGAGGTTGAGACTGGATGACTCTGGGGGTCCCTTTCAACTCTACCATTCTATGATTAATATAAGCTCAGCAAATGGAATCCAGTTAGTTTTGCCGCGGCCTGATGGTTATCAGCTTGTGGTAAGATGGAGGCTGGCTTTTTCACTGGTAACACCTGTATTGTGCTGTAATAAGAAAAAGACCCATCATCATTGGCATTCAGCCGGCTCCTCAATACACGCCTATTTGGGCAAACATTTTAATGGGACTCTTTTATTGTAAATTTTAATCATGGGTGGGTTTTAATGTTTTGATGAAATGGATTTCTTCTGTATTTTGTTTAGGCATGGATTTTATAACTGATTTTATACTTATAAACCACTTAGCGACCATTTTGGCATGTAAGCAGTATACAAATTAATACATCTTCCCCCCTCCAGGCTGATGATGAGTTCTGATGAGCTCCAAAGCTTGCATATTTATTTGTGTATCTTCCTTTGGGATCATGTGTGTGTGCACTCTCTCTCTCTCTCTCTCTCTCACACACACACACACACAGACCAACATTCATAATGTGTATGATCCTTATGTGGCTAAACTGGTACCATCCATCCATGCCAAAGAAGTTAGGTATCAGCAGGTTTGTGGAAAGGGGAACCCCAAGGTAAACAGAAGTGCAAAGGGGGGGGACTAAAGAGAGGAACCCCAAGGACTGAGCATGCTCAGGGTTCAAGGAATGCTGACTGTCTGTTGGAAGGTGGCATGCAAACACCCACCTAGCAATGGGAGAGGTGGAAGGAAGTATTCTGAAAGAGTACATGGCTGCTGCAACAGGAACACTCCACTGTGTACCATTTTTATTGTCAGTTCCACTTATTACCTTCCAGTTTCCTTTGATTTCTTCTCTAATGAACCAATAAACCCACCTGCAATTTTAATCTCACTTAAATGACTATTCTGGAGAGCAAAGTGCTTGGGTGCCTCTTGAATGAAAACTGTTAAAATGCCCAATATTTTGCTGTGAATCGTCCCTGCTTCAATCACACATTTTATGCCATTCCATTATTTCCTAACGGCTGGTGGGAAAGGGGAGTATTATGTGATATTTTCCACTGTTGACAGATTTATAGATGCCAGAATCCATATGAGAGGCAGCTTTTGCAAGAACCATTCTTCAATCAGTTTCCCCCATTTCAATCAGTTTTCCCATTTGTAAATGGAATGAAAAAGCTACATCAATTGGAATTGAATTCGCTTTTTAAACGCCTTTCGTGCTTGATACCACGTTAACAGCATTCATTCATGATGACACACAAACAAGGCATTTTCTAGGATCCTTGTCACAAGCAGCTTTGCATGACAAGTTTGCTCACAGTTTGGGAGTGAACCCAGTTCAGAAGAGCAAATTTTGCTCCTAACGAAGGCTTTGGCCAGAAGCGTTCTTGCTTAGCTTAGCCTGAAGTATCAGTTGTGCCCAGCAATAACTGGTGGCCACTGAGATTCGTAGGGCAGCAGTCACGGAGCCCAACACTAGGTGGCACTAGAGCCAGTGACAGACCGAGCCAATCAAGTCTAGTTTGGTCCTCCTCCCTGCTGAGTTCTACAAGGACAACACACTTATCCACACTTACTTTTCCTCTGCCTGCTTCCTCTCCTTCCACTTAGATCAGCTTTTGCATATCCTGCCTCAACTGAGAGGGTCTTCATCACTGTGTCCTTCAGAATGAGGAACTGCCTCCCTCAGGAGATCCATCTGGATCCTGCCCAATAAATTTACATTAGGATTTTAAGACCTAGGATTGCTGCTGTAGAAATTGATCTCATATTAGGCAGTATTTTCACTGGAAAGACCAGTTGTTGTTATTGTTAATGACATTTTTATTCTATCCTTCTTCCTATGGTGGCCTACATAGGAAGGTTAGTTCACATTAGCTTCATAATAACCCTGTGAGGTAGATTTGACTGAAAGAGAATCACTGGCTCATGGTCGCACCCCAACAGTCAATTCTCTCTGCCCTCAGGCTGCAAACCATACATTCAAAGCTCATGACTCCCATCCCAAAGAATCCTGGGAAATGTAGTTTATCCTTCGCAGAACTACAATTCCCAGCACCCTTAACAAAGAGCAGGGTTCTTTGGGGGGAAGTCACATGCTTAAAATGTATGATAGGAATGCAGCCTCTCTTTCTCTCTCAACATACGGGCCATTAAGGAATGGAAAGAAGTGTTTCAATCTAATTCATTCGAAAAAGCTTTTTATTGGTTTTGTTGCCCTTTCTAAATCAATGTCAGGATCTCTTTGGCCTGTGTGGAGAACCAGCAAAGAAGCCCAGCTGAGTATTACAAAGAGGAGCGGGGGAGGTAAGAGAAGTTCTAATTGGAGTTGCCTTTACCAATGTTTTAGCATTTGCAGCCTCATTCACACAACCTCATTGTGGTTTCCTTTCCTTGGAAAAGCTGAGAGAGGCCCCTTGTACTTAGTGTCACTGATGATGATGAATCTAAAGCAGTAATGGCTCATAAGTGTTGTGGAAAGCCAACAGAGGCAGCTCTATGCGCAAATCTGAACCTCCCTGCCTCTGCTTTTGCTGTGGTGAGGATATTGGAGCTTGCAGAGTATATGAATTCTTGGAAAGAGCAAGACATTTTAAACTGTTTGTTCTGCGGCAAGGACGAGGACCTCTTCAGCCTGGGGCTCAGATTCCCTTCTGTTCAAACTTCTGAGGGGGCCACATGGCACCAGGGAGTGGGGCTAGGGGAGGGGAGGCCCACCCTACTTTGCCGCCTAAGGCAAACCTGGAAGGGACCACCAACCCTCCTGCCAATGAAAGACTTCATAGGTGTATACGCATCCACAGCTACTGGCTTGACAACCACAGTGTAGACCAAGTCCACATTTCAATTCTTTGAAGCAAACAATAGGTTACAGTGGCAGATCATTTAATTCATTTTTTGTTGTTCAGTCATTTAGTTGTGTCCAACTCTTCATGACCCCATGGACCAGAGCACGCCAGGCACTCCTGTCTTCCACTGCCTCCCACAGTTTGGTCAAACTCATGCTGGTAGCTTCGAGAACAGTATCCCACCATCTCATCCTCTGTCGTCCCCTTCTCCTTGTGCCCTCAATCTTTCCCAACATCAGGGTCTTTTCCAGGGAGTTTTCTCTCCTCATGAGATGGCCAAAGTATTGGCGCCTCAGCTTCAGGATTTGTCCTTCCAGTGAGCACTCAGGGCTGATTTCCTTCAGAATGGATAGGTTTGATCTTCTTGCAGTCCATGGGACTCTCAAGAGTCTCCTCCAGCACCATAATTCAAAAGCATCAATTCTTCGGCGATCAGCCTTCTTTATGGTCCAGCTCTCACTTCCACACATCACTACTGGGAAAACCATAGCTTTAACTATACGGACCTTTGTTGGCAAGGTGATGTCTCTGCTTTTTAAGATGCTGTCTAGGTTTGTCATTGCTTTTCTCCCAAGAAGCAGGCGTCTTTTAATTTCGTGACTGCTGTCACCTGCTTTAAACAAGGTCAGGTTATTTGCCCATCTAGCAGTGAGGAACCTCCAGTCTGTGGGCCAAATTAGGCTCATGAAGTCAGGTTTGAAGCAAGCAAAGATGCAGCTGGCAGTGGCGTAGCGTGGGTTGTCAGCACCCGGGGCAAGGCAAGTAATTTGCGCCCCCTAACCCGTGGATTTTAGCACTCGAGTGCGAGCGCCCCCCCAGATGTTGCAGCCGGCCCCCCTGCACCCCCCCATGCTATGCCACTGGGGCTGGGGGCGAGCGAAGGAGCCAAGGACCCCCCCCAAAGGCTCAGCAGGAATTTATTAAATTTATTATTTGCGGAGCCCCCGCGGGCCGAGGCAGCCGAAGCCCCCTCCCCTTGGGCGCCTCCCCGCCCCCTCCTCTCCTTGGGCTGTAGGTGGAGCCCGCGCTCCGAGGCGCTCCAGATCCGGGCTTGGCGAGCACCTCTCCTCCTCCCGGCCAGGGTCCGGGGGCTTCCAGCCGCGCTCCGTCCTCGCCCCCCCCCCCCCCGCGGCTGAGACTTGCGCTGAGAGCCGGAGCCAGCGGTGCCCCCTTCTGCCGGGAGACCCTCGCCCGCCCACCGGCTTCCTCTCGGAGGGTTTTGGGGAGCGCAGGGCGCAGCGAGGCCCCTCGGAGCTCTCCTCCCTCCCAGTCGGCAGAAGCAGCCGCCGCCTGTGGCTGGGCCGAGGGGATGGCGTCGGCGTCGGGGTGCGGAGGCTGCCCGTGCCCGGCCAGGCGTCGGTGGCGGCGTCGTCGCTGCTGCAGCGGCTGCTCCTCCTGCGAGCAGTGAGTGGAGCGCAGCCGCAGCGGCGGCGGGGGGCGCGCACGCCCTAGGGCGCAAGGCTGGCGGTGGCGGCGGGGAGCCCGGCAGAGGAAGGAACTTGTCCCTTCCCTCTGGACTCGCGCCCCCCCAGATGTTGCGCCCGGTGCGGCCGGCACCCCTGGCACCCCCCACGCTACGCCACTGGCAGCTGGGCCAAGGAGAGTTTTCAGGCACTTGCAACCAGTTGATGGTGGCTTCTGCATAGCCCTGCACAACACTTTGTGAGTATCAACCATCAGCTGATTGCTGGAGATTGCTAAATGCAGCACATGGAGCTATCAAGCAATGACAATCAGCTGACTGCATAGATTATAGCCCCCAGTTTACTCCTTCAGTGGCTCTCCGATGTCTTAGGCTGTGGCTCCTTCCTTCTACCTGATCCTTCTAACTGAAGATGCCAGCAATTTAACCTTGGGCTTTCTGCATGCAAAGCATGGGCTCAATAACTGAGTTATGGCCCTTCCGCTTCAAAAAGTTGTTTGTTCCTAA